CTGTGTAGGGTTTTAATGATATTCTTTTAACTCTGGACTCTGGCAGCCCTGCTGTCCTCTCGTTATTGGACCCGACAGAAGCCTTTGACACGGTCGACCATGATATCCTGCTATCACGGCTGGAATCATGTGCTGGCCTAAAAGGGTCTGCTCTTCAGTGGTTTCGGTCCTACTTATCTGGAAGGACTTTTATGTGAACATTGGCCCTCACAGCTCCTAAATAGCCTCTCTTAATTATGGTGTATCTCAAGGCTCTATTTTGGGTCCTGCCTCGTTTGCACTGTATATGTTGCCACTGGGGTCTATTTTCTCAAAGTACAACCTTTCATTTCACTGTTTTGCAGATGACATGCAAATCTATCTGCCTTTAAAAGCAGGGACAGACTCACTCCAGCTATTGTCATGCTGCCTTGATGACATTAAACAGTGGATGTCTTGATTTTTTTTTTTTAATTAAATGAAAACAAAAAAGGAATTGTCAATTTTGGTAACTTTGTTAATAAACAAACCGAGGCACTGCGCCCCTTATCTTCCTACTGTAAGTCAAATGTTAAAATCCTTGGTTTGTATCTTGATGGTTCCTTTAAACTGTGTAGGCAGGTGAGCATAGTAGTCCTATCTAGCTTTTTTCATTTAAGACAGGTAGCCAAGGTTAAGCCATACCTTTGAATATGTTATTCATCTGTTCATTACTTGCAGCCTGGATTACTGCAATTCTTTGTACTTTGGTTCGGACCTGGCCTCTCCCTCCCACACTTTCACCTAAACATTTTGGTTTTAACACCCTGTTGTTGTTGTCTTAGTTGCTTTTATTGACTTATTTTATTTATTTATTAGTTTTTCTATATTTTACTGCATCATTGTTTTGCATTTTATTTATTTTAGTGGCATTTTACATTATTAAGCACTTTGTGCAACATGGACTGATTGGAAATGTGCTATATAAATAAACTTGACCTTGAACTTGACCATCTTACAGGGTGGAAGACACATCATGTGCTTTGAAAAAAAGAAATGTAACATATCCCGATCAAAAGTTTAAGACCACTTGAAAAATGGCAACAAAAAAAAAAATCTATCCTGTGTCTTCCCCTGATCTAAATCCAATTGAGAACCTTTGGGGATGAATGACAAGGAAGGTTTACAAAAATGGACAACAGTTCCAGACAGTAGATGCCCTTCATGCAGCCGTCTTTACCACTTGGAGAAATGTTCCCACTCAACTCATGGAAACACTTGCATCAAGCACGCTGTAACACATTTTTGAAGTGATCAACAATAATGGTGGAGCTACTCATGACTGAGTTCATGTTTTTAACTTTGATTTCTATTTTGGGGGGGGTTAGAGGGTTTTTTGGAGGTGTGGTCCTAAACTTTTGATCAGCTGTAAAACAGACTGTTTCAGATTAAGAGTTGTTTTCAATAAATTGCATGGTCAGAAAAATGTTTTATCTCACTAACATTTCTTCTTCTTGCATGTTGAAGCTCCAATTGGAATCTTGTTAAGATCCAACCATGCAAAATATGATTTTTTGCCATGTTTCAAGTGGTTTTAAACTTTTAATCAGGACTGTATATATGTATAATAGGTTTTGATTACATGTCATTTTATTGGGCCAGCTAACACAAAGAAAACTGGCTTATTTGCAGTAACTTAACAGGTAAACTGACCCAGTTTTACAAAGAACAGGTGCATTCACTGTTTAATGTTTAATAATGTTTACTGTACCTGAGTTGATGTCCAGTTTTGAACTGATTTCATGTGTGTAAGCTGTATCTTTCTTTAAGTTATCAAACAAGGTGTCAAGAGGGTGATCAATATACTGACTTCTTCCAGGGTTCCTACAGCAATTAAACAAACTAGTCACATGGTGTTACATGTTCACTCCAATGTTTATTCATTTTAAATATGGATAAATCTTGGGTATTTTAAGCTGTGTAACAAACCTTGTCACAGCTTTTCTGAACTCTTTGGTCATGAATAGCACTTGTAGCACACTGTTTAAGTAACATGTTGCTCCTTGGTTTACTAGCCCATGGTACTTGTTGGCTAGAAGGAGATAATCAATGATCAATTTAAATTGTAGAACTGTTTCTGTGAAAGATAAACTAGGTGAACAGTGCATAGTGTTGTCAGTTACAGGAATAGGCACTAGCAAAATACGTAGTGTAAAAATACATCATGTTGATTTCATTCATGTGACCACATGACACATTACTATCAGTGCTACTTCTCTGATTCTCCATGAGTCCTTTGTTTCCTGGAAAACTGTTCACCAAAAGACTGATCTCTTTTCATACCTTGTCTATTGTGTCCTGTTTTTTTTTTTAATTAGTGATGATCTCCCTTTCTAAACAGATATGTATATCACTTCCTGTCCCTGATTCTGTTATACTGTGCTTTGACTATAATCAGCTCATATCTATTATCAGCTAATAGCTGATGACTTAGACCTCCTCTAATCTCACGGAAGTCTTTTTCTTTCTTGTCTTCTTTGTGCACCTTCACCATCTCTCTTATCTTGCTTATTGTTTTTATTTTGCTCTTTATCATTTTCTCACATCTTCCGTTTACCTTCAGCCACCTTTCCATTGCATTAAAACATATACGGAGTCTTTAAGCATTGCTGATCCTCTATTTCCATCTCTTGTTTTACTTCTATTAGCTTCATCTGTGCTGTCTACCATCACAGCTATCATCATCTTCTTGTCCTTATCTCTTAGTCTGTACTCTCTCATTTCTTCATTTTGTTCTACTTTCAGACTGTGTTGGTTATCCTGGTGATCACTGCCTTTTCTGGGTTTTAAATTTGCATCCTGCTGGTGCTCGGCATCATTCTTGTGGTCATCAGACTCCTGATTATCAGTTTTTCTTTTCTTTGTAATGTGGTCACTGCTTTCATTGTCTACATGTTCCATGTCTTTGTTTTTCCTGTTTCTTGCCAAGTACTTTTCTTTCTCCTTTTTCTGTTTACTTTCATCTTTATTCTCTACATCATTCATTATCATCTGCTGATCTTTTCCCTGTATGTCCACAAGGTTATAGTCCATGCCTGCTGCCTCACCTTCGTCTCTCCCTGTGGTCTTTACAACCTGTTCTTGTTGCTCATTGGCTGAAGCTCCACCAGTGGGTGCCTCACTGATGTGTTGTGTGTCTGCAGCATGCACTGGAAATGAAATCAAAACAGTCAAAATCATTTCAAACTGCCAGTGTGATACAATCATTCACAGAAACATCAATAAGTTAATCATAAATGTTTCCAATCTTACTTTTCTTTCTCCTGTAGAACAGAAGATAAGCACTACTGGATCTAGTAAGAGCACTGTAAAAGTAAAGTAGGGTCAGTTTAATATTCAGTTGTTTTGGAAGAAAATTCAGATAAAAGCTTACGTGTTATTTCTGTCCAGCTGGAATGGTCCTTCTGGAAGCTGTTAATATAAAGAATACAAAGGTGATCATCTATAGGCTAAATACTTTTTTCTATTAAGCACAAAACTGCATCAATTTGTGTTAAAGTATTTATCTCTTGGGAACAATACCAGTGAAAAAAAAATCCATCAGGTTTACCAATGTGACATAAGTGTCATCGAAGTTGTACCATCTGTCATCATCCTCATCATCCTGCGATTTGATTGTTACAGTGTAATGTCCGAATCTCAAGTCACCAAAGTGCTCGACAAATGCATAAAGCTCATAGGTCTGGTTCTAACGAGTAAAAAGAAAGGGGAAAAAAAAGAGCTAAATTAGTATAAGGAATCAGAAACTAAAAAGTAATGACAACATAATGAATTATTTAGTATACCTCTGGTATTTGTAGAGTCTTAGGAACTATCACCTCTTGTCTTATTTTCATGCATACTTGGTATTGATGGTCAAACTTGTTTTTCTTCAACAGCAGCGTCAAAACATCTGGATGATGCCTCATTTCCAATTTCTAATTGAAACACAGAAACATTATTCTTTTATGTTTTTATAAAAGAGTTGGAAATTTCTATGACTGGCAAATAAAAACACTGAAAAAAAAAAAGTTAAGGAAGAGTTGCTGGACAATGGCAAAACCTACCGTTATTTCCGCACTATAAGGCGCACTTAAAATCCTTTAATTTTCTCAAAAATCTTCAGTGCGCCTTATAATCCGGTGTGCCTTATGGATGAATTCTGGTTGTGTTTACTAACCTCGAACCGATTTTATGTGGTACACGGCGCTCAAAAGTCTTTCAAAAAATGTTTTAGTATGACTTTGGCAAGCTAATAAGCTGCACCGCTTGATGGACTGTCGGTGCATCATGGCTACCATAGTCAGTAGCCTCGTGGACTCATAGTAATCTGCGTCCAAAACTCCTTCAGGTCTAAAATTAAACGAACACTGAGGCACACAGAGAGTTAAAAACTGTCTAAATTCTTCCATCTTTAATAAAATGATCAGTGTTGCTGCTTTACCAGGTGTTACAATTGAGTTTAACATCCAGTCATCCATGAAAACAGAATTTATTACATTTAACGGAGTTCGAAGTTAGCAGGAAGTTAGCTCGCTGGTTTCGTTAGTAGCCTAAAAATGATGTCCCATGTTATGACTGAGAGATCTGTGGAAAAAAATAAAACATACAGCCCTGCTATCACTTCCAACATAAATGAAGACAGAAAACTACACAGCAGTGACGTTTGTAGGGTTACTGAAGTTGGGCTAACTGGTATATAATGATGTGCTACGTGCTGATCGCTAGCGACACAGCTATGTTAGCATAACATAAAGCATAACAAGTTTAACATCTAGGCATCCATGAAAACAGAATTTATTAAATTTAATGGAGTTAGAAGTTAGCAGAAAGTTAGCAGTACATTAGCTCACTGGTTTCGCTAGTTACCTAAACATGATATAGCATGTTCTGACTGACAGATTTCTGGAAAAAAATAAAAAGTACAGCCCTGCTATAACTTCCAACATAAATGAAGACAGAAAACTACACAGCAGTGACATTTGTAGGGTTGGGATAGTTGGTATATAATGCTGTGCTATGTGATCGCTAGCGACACAGCTATGTTAGCATAACATAAACACAGTGAAGCTGGAGGATGAACGCTAACTTTTTTCCACTCGATAAAAGTTCCTGATGGTTTTTGACAAATGCAATCGCATGGAAAGATGCTGTAAAAGGACCAAACTGCAGTCAGGAGAACAACTGAGATAATCCATCCGCAAACGAGGTTAGTCATTAATATAAGATAAGATAACCTTTATTAGTCCCACACGTGGGAAATTTGTTTTGTTAGAGCAGAAAGTGGACAGTGTAAAGTTACATAGCAAAAATTATAAGGGGTTTAATGCGCCTTATAATCCGGTGCGCCTTATGCATGAAAACAGACCCGTTCATCGACAGGGCGCCTTCTAATCCGATATGGTCCAAAAAATACGGTAATTATTTTGATCAATAATGAGGTCACAACATTTTAAGATGAAACAGATATATATATATATATAGGTGAACTGTAAGCCCAAACCTGTGAGCTTCAAGCGTTCCACAGAAACATAGAAGGTTATGGACAGACTTTATTTGCTTCCATCTCAGTGACTTCAGCGACTTCTGATGTATCTGCCACACAGTGGAAATTTGTATTTGTCTTTCATAATTGGTTTTGTGTCATGGGTTTGTCCTGAGGTGGCCTATCAGCTGGTAAAAAGACCTTTTTAAAAGGAAGCTGGATGAGCACTGCAGGAAGCCCAGATATGAAGACAAGGAACACATAGAAGCCAGGTGTTGGAAAGATTCTGCTGCCCGATTGTCAGGGGTGTAATGCAGCGACCCAGTTCTGACAGCAGGAATGGTGACAGTAGGAGACAACGCATGTGATCGACAGCAGGGCAGAGGTGCACCTCTGCCTGCATTTGTGAGTAGTGTCTCCACTGTTGTTTACCGGGTTCAGCCGTGTTGAGGGAAGGTCGCCATGGCTATTAGCCAGGCCAGCTTCCCGGACAATGGCTATGGCCAGTATTTGTCTGTTTATAGGGTGATGCCATGAGAGAAGATGTTGTGGCATCGAGTAAGAGGCTCGAGTGCAGAGTGCAAGCTGGGCTGTTATGGGACGAGCCCGATGGAAAGACAAGATGGAGATGTGAGGCTTCTCCTTGACCTTCTGGGACCAGGCTGGCGTGATCCCCACTCAAAAGAGAAATTGCTCCTCTGTTTTCAACTACGAGGAATATTCACCATGGCTTTGTAGGACAATGGGATCATGGGACTGTGGGGGATTTCGGTGCACAGGGAACATTACATTTTATAAGTTTTGTTAGAATTCTTTGTTCATTTCTGGGGGATTTTAGTGTAATGACAACATTTTATTGCTTACATTTTTGTAGAATAGTTTGTTCTATTTGTGCTTTCCTGCCTGGGAATAAACTTTTCCTGATAAGACCTGTAACATCTCTGTGCCCTGGGTTTCTGACTCGCTCACTCCCCCCTTGTATTTAAGTACGACAGTACGACATTCTGGCACACTACCTTTAGTGTCTACATATATTTGAATTATTACAAATGATTGTATTGCCAGGTGTATATAGAGCCTGAAGCTGTGGGAAGGCCTACAACGTCAATCTCCAGAGATTTTCACTGCAACTCAAGTAAAATCAGCTCAGTGATGCGGGAAAAATAAGACCTGGTGAAGTAGCAGACAGCCTTTTGTGATCTGGAAAAAACACAAAAATCTGTGCTCCTTACAAAGTGTCAAAGTTAAATTCTAGACATGCAAGATGATCCATGTTTTTTTTCTTTGGCAGTTTCAACTTCACCATTACTTACCACACTGGTTTCCATAATGTTAAACCAGATGCCCTTTCCTTTCAGTTTTCTAAAGAAACCAAACAGCACGATCTCCTGTAAATTTACGCTCAGTCATGGGTACATTCAGGAACAGCTGACCTGAGAGAGCACGTGGGTGTATATGGCTGTAGCAACTCAGAGAGATAAGATGGAGCTAGGCCATGGAGGGCTTTAAAAGCAAATAAAATAATTTTAAAATAAATCCTAAAAAGAATGGGCAGCCAGTGAAGTGAAGCTAAAATAGGAGAAATGTGCTCAAACTTTTGAGTGTCAGTTAAAAGATGAGCTGCGGCATTTTGCAATCTCTGTAGATGACTTATGTATGAAGCACTGACCCCTATATAAAGTGCATTACAGTAATCCAGCCGAGTGCTAACAAAGGCGTGGATAACTGTCTCAAAGTGCTGCCATGAAAGAATTGGCTCTATTTTAGCCAGCTGCCTCAGCTGAAAGAAGCTTGATTTTACGACTGCCTTAATCTGACCATCAAGCTTCAGTTCACAGTCCACTTTGACCCCCAGGTTTGTGACAGTTGGCTTATTTTACTGGGCCAAGGTATCTAAATACACATTGGGGGTCTCAGTGGGGTTACCAAAAACCATAACCTCAGTCTTTTTGCCATTGAATTTTAAAAAGTCAAGAAACATCCAAGCCTTAATGGCATCAAGACACTGAAGTAATGGCTGTACAGAATATTTTCCTTTTTTCTTTAGAGTGACATAGATCTGACAGTCATCACCATAGAAGTGAAATGCAATGCCGTGTTTTCCCAGTATAGAACCAAGAGGGAGCAGATATAAAGAAAAGAGGTGGGGGCCTAGAAATGAGCCCTGTGGGACACCACACAAGAGAGGAGCAGAGGACGACATAAGGCCACAGAGACTGACACAAAAAGTTCTCCCCGCCAAGTAGGACCTGAACCACTCCAGTGCTGTGCCCCTAATGCCCACCCAGTGCTACAAACGAGAGTGTAAAATGGCATGATCCACTGTATCAAAAGCAGCTGTCAAATCTAAAAGCACAAGAAAAAACACAGTCGCCAACATCAGTAGCTAAAAATATGTCATTAAAAACTTTTAAAAGGGCTGATTCAGTGCCATGAAAGGGTATAAACCAGACTGGAAAACCTGTAAAATATTTAGCTTTTTTCAGGAAGGTCATTAATTGGCTGTGAACTATTTTTTCAAGAATTTTTCACTCACCTCTTCCTCCGACAATTGCTGGTGCTTAATTCATCCTGACCAAACTGGTTTCATAAAAGGTAGGCACTCATCAACAAATACACGTAGATTACTTAATTTGATAGACTACTCATACAGTAAAAACCTAGAAACTACAATATTCTCTTTAGACGCAGAAAAAGCATTTGACAGAGTTAACTGGAAATTTCTATTTGCAA